ACATTTACACCATTAGTTTTTGTATCATAAAATTATATTCAGAAGATTTATACAAGTACATAAATTGTTTCATGATAATTGTTCGCAAAAGTTATCAAAATTATATTTCTTGATATTTACAAACTGCAAATTTACATGAATCAATTTACTTTGTACTTACACTGCAATACACTTACAATATACAAATTATTGCATAAAACTGACCATGTTTTAAAAACTTTATATACAAGCTTTTCTATTACTTATTATTTAAATGTTTGGACAATAATTACATACAACACCTTAGCAGAATACATGATCACATATAGATCTTGCTGTACCTAATACACTTTAGAGAAACATTACATTATGACAATAATATTTTATTCAATTTTATATAATTCAAACTTTCATATAAGTTTTCATTTTACAAAATTTTATAAAAATCTTTGTATTGTCTCATGATCTTGCATTTTTTCTAACGAATGTAAATTATCCCACCAAAGTGGTAATCTATGCTTAAAAATCAATTTGAACCAGGGACTTAATGGCCAACTAAGATTTTGTACAAATTCATTAATTTCAGACTTTGACACCCAACGAAGATCACTAACTTCATCTGGATTAGGGTCCAATGTTATATTATCTTTTTGCATAAATAGTACATAATCTATTTCATGTTCACCCCAATGACCATCCACTGCATGATAATGAATTCTTGTCAAGTACAAAAAGTCTGTCAGCAGAATTTGAGACAAAGGAATTCCTAATTCATAACTTAGCCTTCTTCGTGCTGCTCTACGAATTCCTAATGCCTCGTGTTCTTCAGTTTCTTCAGGTATTTCTGCTAGTGGATGACTGCAACATGTGTTTGTATAATGGTTTGGAAATGTTATCTACAAAAAAATATTATTTTTTATTAACCTAACATATTTTGTAAAACAAGCTTGGTGTATTTTATGCCAAAAAAATGCTTACTTTACTGGCAGATCGCTTCTGAAGTAATAATTCTCCTTTACTATTAAACAAGAAAACACTAAAAGCTCTGTGAAGTGGAATTTGTCCATCTGAATTGACAGTATGACAATCCCTTTTTGTAGCTTCCCCAAGGGATTTGTCTGATGCATCAACAAGAATACAACGTTCCCCTAAAGCAGCTTGCTGTAAAGGAGCTGTTTGTACACTACCAAAACTTCTAATTGAAGGAGATTTCAAACTTCGTACAACAGCACAGACTTCTTTAATCACTTTAGCCATCACAGTAGCGTATTTTCTCTCTAAATAACATTCAATACTTCAAAATAATATTTTATATATGTGTCTATACCACTACTCATATGTATCTATGTAAATAACAGGTTAACTAAACCAATGACCTTGCGTCAATTTTGAAGAATTTTAAATCACAATATTAACACAAAAATGTTTAACCAAAAATATAACACATATTCCATATGAAGAAACTTTCTTTTTAAAAAATGCGGCCGTATACTTTCAACGTATACATTACACAAAACCTTTTTATTTGACGTCACAAAACGTGGCTCACGATACCTTCTAAATACAAAAGTTTCTTTAGCATACCGTGAATGCTATCGCCTGTAGACCAACCAACCAACTCTTTTATACTTTGAACATTATACATTCTGAAATCTAGAGAGCGTGAGTGTAGTAGAATGTCTAACACTTATACCGATCGCGAGATTTGTTTTTGTAACATGGAAAAAAGTGAAAATTCACAATAAAAAGAATATTTAATGCAAACCATTAAAATAATCATTTGAGAATAAGTTTATAAAATATGAATTAGAAATTAAAAATAAAATTACATATTTACTTTTAAAAAATTATAATTATTTCATTGTCTAGTAAATCAAGTAATACTAATGCTGTAATAAGGCTTGTAAGATGGCGTTACAATTCATATTTGATGCGTCAGAAAAGCTTTGTGTTATTCATATAGTTGTTACATTTGAATCGTAATGATCGATAGTTCTCGTTAGTTCTCGACTTCGATCGATCGAATCGTTTCATGGGGTAGTTGAGTAGGTTTCATGATATTCAGTGCGCCTGCAATAAAGACCGTTACATAAAAAAAAGTTATTATTTCTTTAATGTGTTATTTATTGTCTACGTTTCGATATAATTTAAGTCATTTTGCATCAACTCATTAATTTGTTGGTACAAATCGCGAAATGAGTGAGAACGCAGAAATTACGGGAGTAATATCGCCAGAAGATGCGGCCAGAGCGGAAAAATTTAAAGAAGAAGCAAACGAATATTTCAAAAGTGCGTTTATGAAAATTTCCTACAAATTTCCTATTGCGGTTTGTTTCACAATCACACGCAAGACTAAAAAAGAATTCATAGCTATCATTAAATTAATGCAATTTAGTCACGTGTGCGTTTAAAACTAACCCAACTTCCGCAACGTAAATGATCATTAAATTATCGAATGAAACCTCATCGTTGGAAGTAGCTAATTAAAGATTTAAAACAATCGTATCGCTTGTCATATCATCTGTATAGGTGTATTCTAAACAATCATTTCTAATTTTGCTACTTTTTCTGTCTAAATGTGTGTTCATTTCTTTTGATGTAACATGTTTTATGTTCTGTGTCAAATTGTTAATATTCATTTCAATTGATGTTATATAAGAATTTAGTTAATAAATTTCATTATATTTAAATAAAGATTAATTTTTCAAGTTTCTGGTTTATATATTGCAAACAATTAATATTTCATTAAGTACAAATAATTGATATTTTTCTTATTTTTAGATAAAGATTTCACTAATGCCATAGAATTATATACTAAAGCCATAGAAGTAAATCCTACTGTGGCAGTATATTATGGAAATAGAAGTTTTGCTTATCTGAAAACAGAATGTTTTGGATATGCACTTACAGATGCATCAAAAGCTATTGAATTAGATAAAAATTATGTAAAAGGATACTATCGCAGAGCTGCAGCTCACATGTCACTTGGCAAGTTCAAACAAGCTCTTATGGATTATAAAACTGTTACTAAAGCAAGACCAAATGATAAAGAGTCAATGATTAAATACACAGAATGTTCTAAAATATTAAAAATGTTAGCCTTTGAAAAAGCAATTTCTGTGGAAGAAAATAAAAAGAATATAGCTGATATGATTAATTTAGAAGCAATGGGTAAGTAGTTTCACTTTTTGAATTTAAATGTATTTCTAAAAGAGTTTTAAATTTACATTCATGCATTTTCTAGCCATTGAAGATGAATATACAGGGCCTAAACTTGAAGATGAAAAAGTTACATTACAATTCATGCAAGATTTATTAGAATGGTATAGAAAAGAAAATAAATTACACCGTAAATATGCTTATAAGATACTTTTAGATGTAAAAGCATGGTTTATGGCACAACCAAGCTTAGTTGATATTACAATTCCTGATGATAGTAAATTTACTATTTGTGGAGATATTCATGGACAGTACTATGATTTACTTAATATATTTGAATTAAACGGATTACCATCAGAAACTAATCCATATGTATCCTTTATAACAGTGGATGCATTATATTTCTCATTGCATTTTAAATTAATTAAAATTAACTTAAAATTTATTAATATAAATTCAC